CGGTGTCCTCGGACAATGTGCCTGTGCGACAGGCTTGATTGTGCAGCTTTAGGAGGTTTGGACAGGGCTGATCTTGCCTCGAGCGGGGAGGTAGTAGATGCCTTCTGGGGTCCCTTCCACCTTATTTCTCAGACTATAATTGTGGCCCCCTGAAGCTGCAGCTCTGGCAACAAAGAAACCTGACCCAGCTCTAGCAAGATGTGAATGTGCTAGTGCTGGGCGTGCGAGTCGCTCGCTCATTCGCACTGTCCACTGCCAGGGGATAATGCCTCATACTAAACTCCCTCCCACCCTCCTGGCTGTGACTGTGCCAACGGGGCGCTCCCCTGTGCTGGGGTTGCAGCGTGGCCTGCACAGCAGACAGCTCGCCTGGCGAAGGCACCATGGGAGCAGCAGCCTGCTAGGAGCCCCCAACCTACCTGTGCCCCAATGGCAGGTTGTGGCAACAGTCCCTGACCCAAGGTTCTTCCCAGTGGGGGTGAAACTCCACTACAGGACCAAGCTGCTCTGGTGCCTGGAACTTATTGCCAGCCAGCCAGTGCATCCACCTAGCCCACTGACCCTCTGGGCCAGAGACGGAGGTGCTGGTCACCAACCACTTGCTCTGGCTGGCTGCTCTCCTCTGTGCAGCCTGGCTGAGATGCAGCAGGAGTGGTGCTGTGGTGAGAACAGTGGGTCTGACACTGCAGGCTGGGACTGGGGCTGCTCTCTGCGTGGCTGCTGCTGGGATGGGCTGCCAGTGGCTGGGGAGGTGCAGGGACACAAAGTTAACCCTCTTCTTTCTCTCTCCATCAGGTGTTGCAGGAAACCAGCCAAATCAGCTGCACTTGAACTCGGTGGGGCCCGCATCCTCGCAGAGCCCCATGGGGATGAGCCTGCCTGGCCAGCAGCCACTGTCCCATGAGCCCCCCACCTCCATGATGTCCTCGCCAAACCCCCTGGGCTCCAACATTCCAATGCACCCCGGGGCGCAGGGGGCGGGCATCCCCAGCCAGAACCCCATGATGCTGCCCCCCGGGCATCAGGACCCCCTGAACCAGCAGTGTGGCCCTGTGCCCAACAGCTCTCAGATGATCCCTTCCAGCCAGCTGGTGTTCCCCCGCATGCAGCAGCCTCATGGTGCCATGCCATCGCCAGCTGCAGGTATGCCCATGGCCCCCGGAGGCGGTGGCGGCCCTGGCCTGCAACAGCACTATCCCCCGGGGATGGCCTTACCACCAGAGGACCTTCCCTCCCAGCAGCCTGGCCAGATGCCCCCACAGCAGCACCTGATGGGCAAGAGCATCCCTCCTCGGATTGGCGAGCCTTACCCCGCGGTGCTTCCAGGGGTGGCCTCGGTGCTGAACGACCCTGAGCTAAGCGAGGTCATCCGCCCCACACCCACGGGCATCCCCGAGTTTGACTTGTCCAGGATCATCCCCTCTGAGAAGCCAAGCAGCACCTTGCAGTATTTCCCCAAGGGCGACACCCAAGTTCCGAAATCGCAGCCTTCCAACCTCCACCTCATGAACCTGCAGAACATGATGACAGAACAGACCCCCGTGCGCCCGGGCATGGCGGCCCCCAGCCTCCCGGGGCAGCAGAGCGTGCAGCGGGGACTTGGCATGCCCATGTGTCACCCGGGACAGGTGCCCGTGCTGGGCAGGACAGGCATGCCGCCGCAACAGGGCATGATGGGCAGCAGCATGCACCAGGGCATGATGTCCCCGCAGCAGAGCCTCATGGCGCAGCAGAACTTCATGCTGATGCAGGCCAAGCAGAGGAGCATGTCTGTGTCGGGGGAAATGTACGCCCAGGCCGGGCACATGATGTCACCTCAGGGCTCCCTCATGGGGCCCCCGCCTCAGCAGAACCTCATGGTCACGCACCAGATGAGGCAGCGGAGCGTCTCCCTGGACAGCCAAATGAACTACCTCCCCGGGCCGGGGAACATGGCCAACCTGCCCTTCTAGCCGTGCCCGGGTGTGGGGGGCTGGGATTACTGGGCAGGCGGGGGCCAGGCCTAGGGGCCGTGGGGGTGGTCTCCATATCGGACGTGCCTCTGTGCGGAGACCCGATGTGCAGCAAACGTGATGTGAATCCTTTCTTTGGGGGGAGGGGGGAGCTGGGATTGGAGTCGCTATGAGACCCGCGCTGCAGCCAGGGGCTCCCAGATCCTGCAGCAGTTGTAAAATGTTCAGTTATTTTTTTCCTCTTAGAGTGGGGTTTTTGTTTTGTTTTTTTATGTTGTTTTTTTAAAGCAACCAAAATGTCAAGAGGGGTTTGAACTAGCTGTAAATAGGTCGCTGGGAAAGGCAAAACTTGTGCTGGTTTTTAATTGTTCTGTATTTCTGTGTTTTAATAGAAGCCTCAAAATCTGTTTGAAAAAAACAAAAGCACACAACAAAACTTGACAGTAAGTCACCGAGCCAGGGCGGGCCAGACCCCCGCCCCCCCCCGAGGCCGTGAGTCCAGCGGTGCATAGAGCCAGGGCATGAGGGCTTGTGCCAGAGCAGCTGCTACTCTCTTCACAGAGGTGTGTGCAGCCCCCAGGCCATGTCCTGCAGCTGGACCCCAGGCGCCAGCTCTGCAAGCTGCTCCTTCCCTGCTCGGAGCGTCCATGGCAGCACTTTGGCCCCTGAGGCTGCCCTGGGTGTGCTGTGCAAGCCTGCCCATGCCCATGCCTCCCTCTCCTGCTGCTGGAGCCCTGTCTGCTCCAAGCACTGCCTCCTGCTGCCCCCTGCCCTGCCCGTCCTGGAGCATTGCCTGCCCCTCTGCACCTGGCTGCGGGGGACGAGGTGCTGAGTGCCATGTGAGCTGGCTCTGGCCACGCCGGCCAAGCCTTCCCGAGGGGCTCTGCACGCAGCTCTGGGGCTCGGGGCTGCTGGCCGCCAGCGCCAGGACGGCGTGTGGTGCCAGGCCCGGCCCCACGCAGCCACAGGCACCGCGCCAGCCTGGCCAGGTAGAACACGAAGCCGGCTTTCCTCACTCGCCCTTCTGGAGCGCAGCGGCTGCTGCGGCCGGGGCTCGGCCTGCCGGCGGGGTGTGCCAGGGCTGGGGCCAGGCAAGCGGTCAAGCACGGGCTTCTCACGTCCAGCCGGGGCCCAAGGGTGCAGTCACCTGGCCCGGCTGGGGCCTGTTGCGGGTGCCCGGGCCCTGCTTCGCAGCCGGCTCCGTCCCCTTTGGTGCAACCTCCAGTGGGAGGAGCTGCTTGTGGGGCTGTCGCAGCACGACACCAGGCTCCCCAGATCGGGCTGGGCCGGGCACAGCAGGCCTGTCGCTCTGTGCTGGCCCGGGGGTGCCCGGCTGGCTGCCAGCACCCGCCAGGGGGGCTCTGGGCAGGGCTGGTGTCAGCCACCCCGTTCCTTCCTCAGGCAGGCGGGCAGCCCCCAGCGTCGCTGGCAGGAGGCATTAGAGCTCCCACGCCTCGGCCTCAGCCTCAGCCTCACATCCCACCCCACGGGCCACCAGAGCCGGGCTGCGCTGAGGCCAGGCTGGGCCGGGGAGGCCACGGACAGCCCAGGCAGGTAGGTCCGCGCCTGGGGTGGGCCCGTAAAGAGCATGGGCAGAGCACGGACGCGGAGGCCAGGGCTGGGACCAGGCCAGACTCGCCCGTGTGGGGCTGGGAGACGCTGCCTTGCGCACCCCTTCCCCACCGCTGCTGCTCAAGGGCTGGGGTCTCCCGCTGAGCCACGCTGCGCCATGCCCCGGCTCCGCAGGCCCTGGGCCTCCCCTCAGGCCGGGGTGGGGGGGAGGGGGGCAGCCGCTCCCCTGTGCCTCGGCCGCGCCCAAGCGCTGGGGCTGCCGCCCCTGGGCCAGCGTGGCAGCGGGGGCCACCGGGGGGCACGGGGCCTGAGACGAGCGCCCTGAGTTCACGAAGTGGCCCCGGCTCAGCTGGTGGCAGAGGCCAAAACGGGCCGGCACTGGAACTCGTCCGTGCAGCGCGGCCACGGCCGGCCGGCCCAGGAGCTGCTTCCCTTGCCCTGCGCTGCAGCAGCGCCGCTGCAACACGGCTGAATCACCCGGGGCTGGCAAGGGGCTGCACGCTGTGGGCTGGGTGACAGCGGAGGAGGTGGGCAACTGGCACATGTCTGTGCAGAGCAGCTCTGGCCCCAGCAGCCACTGGGCGCCCGCGGTTCAGGGCAGTCGTCGGAGCTCAAGTTTTTGCTGACTAAATCTAATGCGTGGGATGTCCACCAGCCCCTCGTGGCGGGCAGAGCAAAGCCGACCTGGGATCTCGTTTGCACACCTGCCAAGACCCCAGGGAGTTTGTTCCCTTCCCTGTGCTGGTTTGCTCTGGACTGACGGGAATTCTTGTACTCGGCACCCCAGAAACATGCAGCCACCAAGCCCCAGAGGAGCCTGTGACCCTTCAGCCCCAGAGAAAGGAGCAGTTCTCCTTGGTCTTCAGACTCCGGCAGCACCAGAGCAGTGTGGTTAGGGCTGGAGCTGTCCTGAGCCAGGGAACGGTCTTCCTTAAAGACCGCTGCCTGCACACCCAGAGCTGCCTGCTCTCTGATGTCAGGACCTGGTGTGATCAGCAGCAGTTACATGGGGAGACAGTGAGCAGGGGAGTTTGCAGCTGCCACAGGAAAGGCATTTCTAACCATCAAGGCCTTGGAGATGGGTGCAGTGGGAGTCTTGAATGTCGTCCACGTAAGGTAGAAACAAGCAGCCTGGTGCAATGGCAGACTTCCTGGGAAATGGGCCTTGATTGTATGGGGCTCAGTGTCTGGGCTGGAGGCAACTGGCTCAGTAAGCAGTGACTTGCATTGCTGCCTGGCCAGACAGGCCAGATGTGCTCAGCCTGCTTTGCTTGGGTCCGGGCTTTGGCCACGTGTTCAATGCACACAGTAGCCAGGGGAAGCAGCTGGCAAGTCTCAGACATGTGAATGGCTGTTGGACCTCAGCCTCACGGGGAGCAAAGAAGGCGCTGCGGCTGCTGCTGCCGCACGGGCCCGGGGCCTGCATCATGTGGAGTCTGTGCGCCGCAGGCCAGGGCTGCAAGGCTGGCTCCAGCCCGCGCCCACATCCTCATCAGAAGGTGGAGATGGACGTGGTGTTGTCGGACTCAACCCCGCTGCCCTTCCTTGTCACGTCCAGGATCTCCTGCAGGGTCTCGTGGCTGATGCAGCCCAGCTCCTGCAGGATCCGGAAGAAGTCGTTGCGAAACTTGACTCCCACAAAGGCGTACAGGATGGGGTTGAGGCAGCACTGTGTGAAGCCGATGGCCTCTGTCACCAGGATGCTGGTGCTCAGCTGCTCCTCCACCAGGCAGTCCTTTGAGAGCACGCCCAGCTTGGTCAGCGTGTCCAGGAAGATGACGATGTGGTACGGGCTCCAGCAGAGCAGGAACACGCCTGTGACCAGGATGGCAATTCGCACGGCCTTCTGCCTCTGCAGCCGCTGCGACTGGCACAGGGTCCTGACAATGGCTGCGTAGCAGTAACACATGACTAGCAAGGGCATGAAGAAACCCACGATGTGGTACAGAAAGCGGGTGGCCAGCCACATGTCGTTGCCGTGAATCCCCATCTGTGGGAAGTAGCAGATGCTGCGGTTGTTGGGGTCTTTCCAGACCTCCATGAAAATGAGGTCGGGCAAGGTCAGCACCAGCGAGAAGACCCAGATGGCTGTGCAGGTGATGTGGATGGCCCTGGCCCTGCGCCTCCGGTAGGTGTGGATGGCGTACACGATGGCTAGGTAGCGGTCCACCCCGATGCAGCCCAGCAGGATGCTGCTGCAGTAGAAGTTGATCTTGTGCACAGCGCTGAGAACTTTGCAGAGAAATGTCCCGAAGATCCAGCCAGCCAAGTTCTCAATCACGCTGAAGGGGAAGGTGAGCACCAGCACCATGTTCGCCAGGGCCAGGTGGAAGAGGAAGCTCTCTGTGGTGGTGCGGGAACGCTTGCAGCGCTCCAGGATGGCCAGGACCAGGGCGTTGCCCATGGTCCCCAGGAGGAACATCAGCAGGTAAATGAGGGGCATGAAGATCTTTCTGAACATGTTTGCAGCTTCGTTAGTCTGTGACGAGCTTGACTCAGGGCACAAATAGTTGTCTAAGTCATTGGTGGTGTTTTCAGCGTCGCCGTAGCCGCTCATCTCCATCAGGATCTGCTGAACAAAAGAAGAAGCCCGTTATGGGTCTCAGTGTCTGCACAGCTGGACTCTTCCCCAGGGAAAAGCCCAGGGACTCGGGCAGGACCAGAGCTGTGGTCTGGCAAACTTCCTGTCTGACAGGAGCCACCATCAGCTGAAGGCAGTTGCCCGTGATGGCTGCACCCAGCAGTTGTCTGTCTCATGAAAGCCTGCAGGAGCAGATGTGGGGTAGTCTGCCCCGGAGGGTCTCATCCTGACCGCTAATAGGTACAGATTGGCTTGAACCCTGAAGTAGGAAGCTTTGATTCCCTTCCAATCCTTGTCTCAGTATCAATCATGAAACTATTTCTGGATGGTCTCGCTATCCAAACAGATATCCGAGCTCTCTTTGCAGCTAAGTTCCTGACCTCCGTGACCTCCTGTGGCAATTAGCTTTTCCTCCTATTAGTTTGAATTTCCCACTTAATCTCATTGATTTTTCCCTGCCCCCGTGTCCCGGATGTTGCTGGCCTGCCTTCCCTGTCCTTGCATCAGGTTCAGTTTCTCCCAGGGCCCCCTAGTCCCCTTGCCCGCGCAAACACTCTCGCTCTCCAGTTTGTCTTTGTGGGGATTTCTCTAATTTCCCTGGAGTGGAGTTGGGATGTAGTGCCTTGCGGAGAGCCTCAGTGGTTTGCAGAGAAGGCTTGAGACTACTTTCTGAATCATTTTTCAGCCTGGTCCTTATGTCCCTAGATACCTCCCTCACTTTGGCTGCTACGTGCTGGGGAGCACTCTCTGTGGAGGTGTGAGCCCCTGGTCCCTGACAGGCCTGGGGGGCAGCTCCCGTTGCCCTGCAGGAAAAGGCTGGGTTGAGGGCAGTGGCAGGACATGTGCTGCTTTCTCAGAAGAGCTGGCTGGGAGCTGGCCGGCACACAGGGAGGGCGAGTGCTTGGGGCGGGTGTGCAGAGATGCATGGGAACGACGTGAGCCAGGTACGTGGGCAGCGCGACAGCGGGCAGAGGCCAAGGGGGTGCGCTTCAGAGCAACGCGTGCTGCGGGGCAGCGTGTGCAGGACGCGAAGCCCCCCCAGGTCTCTGAATGAGCTGCACCAGTGCAGGAAAGCGATGCAGAAATGCTGCGGTGTGCCTCTGGCAGCAGGCTCGTGCCCGCACAGCCTGTATGAAACGGCTACGTGCTCTGGTCACGGGAGTCAGCAGTTCCACGCACCAAGCAGGGATTGACTGAAGGTCCCGAGCATGAGCCTCACAGCATCCCAGGCAGAGGGCAGTCCCTGGGCCAGACAGGCCAGAGCGTGGTCTGCCCTTGGCCAGAGCAACACTGCTGAGAAAAGGGAGCTGCAGGCACGGGAAGGGGCAGAGCAGAAACGAGAAACATGCCTGACAAAACGGGAAGAACGCCCCAGCACCCCTCCCCCCTGCACCTTCCCTGGAGACCAAGACTGAGACTTGATCAACCACAGCGGAAGTCTCTGCTTGCTGTTTTCATACCTTTCACTGCCAGCTGTAGCCACCTGCACCTGCTGCTCTTCCCTCCATCGGCCGTAGTTCCCGTCTAAAAATACGAGCTCTTCTCGAGCTGTTTCAGAGCTAATTTTATTTTATTTTGCTCACGTTTTTCTTTTAGCGGTCTCTTGGGTGCACCGTGAACACCGTGATGGTCAATGATCATACAGCCTGCGGCCCTGGCCTGGTGCTGCCTGGCAGAGGGGGACATTGCCTGCCTCAGGAAATCCCACGCTGCCTCTGGGAGCACCACTGCTGCCCTGCTTCATCTCTAGCGAGAGCAGCCCTGACAGTGCAGCTTTGCTCAGGGTCAGGAGACCCCCGGGCTAGCTCGGCTTGGACCCGCAGTGGCAGGAAGCAGCTGAAGTAATGCACGTTGCATTTTTCTTTGCACTGCGGTTGGAAAGACCCTGGTAGATTCCTGCTCTCATTCGCCCTCCTCTGCTTGGGGCGGCACAGGGGCCCAGAGCACCTCTTCCTGGTTCACGCGTGAGGGTGTCGGTCATAGTCCCGAGTTCTCCCCCTCCCAATACGACACTGCAGTCACTCCACTGTCTGCCTTCTTCTGCAGCAGCAGCAGCAGCAGCAGAGCCTGCGTCCTGTGGCCCTGGCCCAGTCCACAAGGGACAGCTCTGCACCTTCTGCCTTGTCCCCTGGGTCTGCACGGGAGGAGCAAAATCCAGGGAAGCCTCTAAACTGCCCTTGCCATCCCTGTTGGCTTCCTGTCCCTGGGGGCGGCCTACACCGGGAGTTAGTGCCACCCACCAAACCCATGTTAGCAGCACCAACCAGGACGCGGGCAGGAGCCCTCGTGCCAGCCCTGCCACCTGGCAGCCACTGAACCTGCAGCTTGGCAGAGACCTCCTCAAGGGGAAGGGCGGTGCTCCTCTCAGGGTGCCTGCTGCCACGGTGCCAGCTGCAGGCCAGCGGCTGGGGATTCGGGCATGGGGGACGGGCCCAGCTGCAGGCCAGCGGCTGCTGTTTCGGCTCTGGGCATGACCCCCACCCCGCAGGGTTTGCAGCTGTCCAGGGGCAAGGGGAGGGTGTGTTGGAAGCCCTGGAGGAGACAGGCCTGTCAGCAGAGGGTGGGCTCAGCCTCCAGGCACAAGGGCAGAGGGAGCACTGTTATTTGTGCAAGCGCAGGGCAGAGGGAGCCCTTCCGGCCTGGGCAGCGGCTGCGCTGCACTCCATGACCCCGCTGCAGTGCAGTTGCTAGCGTCACCTTGCACTGGGAGCAGAGGCGCAGCAGGCGAGCGCCGCTATCAGCCACCATCTCATCTCTGATAAGGCAACAGGTAGGGTTTAAACCGTCAGCCGGTGACCTCAGGCTCAGGGAGCGTGCACAGCACTATGCCTGAGAGGTCTCGTGCATCTCCAGGCGTGCTGGGCGAGAGGGTGTGGGCGGTACGGGCGAGCCTGTTAGATGCAGCAGAAAATGAGCAGGGACCAAGAACAGGAGCTGAGGCAGGGCAGGTTGGATCGCAGCTGCAGCAGCTGCAGAGAGCATACACCACTGGGGCTGCAGGAGCTTCCCTGGGCCATGGGGGCCCCCATCGCAGCCGTTCCCAGTCCCGCGAAGCTGTGGGGGACGCTGCAGTCAGCTCGTGGGACGGGCTTTGGCAGAAGCAGGGGAGGGAAGAAGCAGCATCTCTGCCTGTTCCTGCCTGCTGGCACACCTGTGCTTGCCTGTTCATTGCTCCCTCCCCTGCTTGTCTCTCTCTCTCTCTCGCTCGTGTAAACGGGAGTGACCTGTGCCCCTTCTGCTGCTCGTTCCTAGCCTGGGGTGGGAGCCATGCTTCGCTGCCGTGAAGCGAGTGTGAGGTTACTCACACCTGGCTTGCACACTGCCGGTACACCAGGGAAGGGGACGGTGCGGCAGTTTCTGTTTCTCACCTCTGCTGTTTGTGTGAAGGGCTGGGGAACACCAAAGAGCTGCACCAAAGCACAGGCTGGTTTGTGGGCTCGCTTACTGGCACGTGCACGCCCTCTGCTCGAGCTTGGGGCTGCAAAGGTTTCTCCAGCACAGGAGAAAGAAGCCCTTGCCCTTGTGTGGTGCCTTGTGGGGACTGCACAGAGGTTCAGGACCGTTCCTCGCAACCATTTATGCATGGGGAAGCTGAGGCTTTAATACTAGACAAGCCTCTTTGTCCGACTGCTGCACTAAACCAGTCCTGGGCAATGTCTGGACTAGGAAGAGACCCTCTGGCCCTGTAGCCTGGTCATAAGGCATGATGGGAGAGTGAGACATCTCTTCATGCTCATGGTCTTCGGTTTTTATTCCAGGTTCACTCCATTGGGTGGAGATGTCCGTTGCTCCTTTGCTGTTAAAGGGCTCATAGCTGGGAACCGCAGGAGGTTTCAGCTTGCTACTTGGATGGACGTTAGCAGGGGAAGGTGCAGTTCTGCTCCAAGGATGGACAGTGGATGCGTCTGGGCTGGTTTGGACAGGGCTGACCCTGCCTCAGGAAGGGGTTGGACTGCATGTGACCTCTGGGGGTCCCTGCCAGCCCATCTCACCTGTGAGTCTATGACTGGGACTCTAGGACCCTTCCTTTCCCGAGGATTCGCCCAGTGGGATGAGCCCTTAGTACATGTGAGCTCCTGCCTCAGGAAGGGAGACCGGTTCACTGGTTGCTGTAGCTCTCCCATGCGTGCCAGGCATACCCTCTGCGGGAGGGACTGACCTGCTCCTGCCCTCGCACGTGCCTGGCAGTCCTCGTGCCATGGAGACGTGCTGTCCCTGCATCATTGCGGCTGAGCCTCGCTTACAGCACGGAGGGCTGTGGAGTCGCGGTGCTAGGGGCCGTCCCCACCAAATGAACGTGCTCTGTGGCACTGCTGCTCCCTGCACTGCCTGTCTGTGTCTGCCATGGGCTCTGTGCTAACTACTGGACCTGGGTCAGTAAGATGCAAGGCAGCAAATGCAATCTCACCTGGCTTTCTGCTACTTGGGTAATTTACAGTGATAACGCAGTTTGGAGTACGGCGGGGCAGGGGAAGAGTCGGCACTGGCTGGCGTGAAGGTTTGGGGGCGGGGGGAGCCTGTGATGCAAAGCTTCCCCACCTGGTGCTATGCCTTGAGCCCTGCTCGCTCCCCAGTCAGCCAGGCACTGGGCACGCTGTGCCCATCTCTTCTTTGTTCTGTGGAGGAGTGAACCCAGTTTTGCCCCAGCTAAACTCCAGGCTTGTGGTGCTGCTGCCCAGGCTTTCCACTCGGGGCCAGGTAGGGCTGGGCACAGCAAGTGTCTGCTGAAGGGAAATACCAGGGGAAATGAAACCTGCTCACTCTGGTCAAAAGTCTTCCCGGGATTGTAACCAAAACAGAAATGGCTGTCTTGGTTTTCACAGTTCTGGCTTCTTCTCTTGCCTCTCCTTTCCCCACTTTAAGGAAGAAGGGAATGGAAGGTGAGAGGAAAACCAGACTGACATGGGGGGTTTTTTTGAACAGACATGAAAACTATTGTTTCCCTGAAAAAGCCACTTTTCTTTTAAAACAGAAAGAGGACGAATTTCCAAAATGCTCTACTTAAAAGCAAGGCTGGTACCAAGTCAGCTGGGAGGTTCACTGTGCACAGCACTGTTGTCTGTTAAGTGAGCCCCTCTCCCCTGCGCATCCAAGACCTGCGGCAGGGCAGGGCAGGGCAGCCGCACCCCTGCGGACGCAGGACAGGTATCCGAGGCACACGTCCTCCCCAGTTAGTCCCCAGTTGAAGGACTGCTACAGGCCTGTCCTGGCCAGGCTCAACCCTCTGCGCATGGGAAGGGCTGAACGGAGACAGGCAGGGAGCGCACTGTCCCACTGCTGTAGGAATAGGTCTTTGGTGTGTGGCCAGGCATTCTGGTGCCTTGCCTGGCTGCTTCCGTGACAGTCTGGGGGCTGATTCCCCCAGCCTGGCAGCTTGTGCAGTCCCTGACACCACTACAAAGTCAGAACAGGGGTTTGCACCCACTCCGGGCTGCTGTAAATGGCTGCACAAGGACAACAGACGCAGGCTTGGCTTTGTTGGCAGTGCAGCAGAGTTCCCACCCCATGGCACACGAGGGAGAAAGGGTCCGTCATTCCTGGCCCCTAGAACGGGAACCACGGGGCCAGCACCCCTTCCAAGAGACCGGCTGTGCCTGCACCCCTGCCCTCAGTGCGTAACCGCATGGCCCTGCTCGCAACGCAGCTTCCCGCGAATTGGCAGACTGAGTGGTGTTGTGCCCCCTTCCCCACACAGCCAGCTCTACTGGGTGCTTCAGGCTCTGATTGTGGTGGGTAAACATTTCATCTTGAGACCAACCCAGTGGAAGGGAGGGAAGGGGTGGAGAAGGTTTAAATCCAAGGTCCTTAGCTTCCTGTGCAAGTAGGGCCATGCTGGCTTGGGGATCTACTGCCACCACCCCCATCCTCAGCCCACAGGCCGCCTCGCCTCCATTCCAAGCCTGGCTTACCACATCCGCGCTGTCCATAGAGTAGACAGAGGACCCCATGGTCTCGGAGGCAGTGCGTCTCCTCTCTAGCAGGTTGACAGCCGCTCTGAAAGACCTTTTTTGGGGTGGGGTTAATAATTTAAGGAAGGAGGAGGACCCAGTCCTTACCAACAAAGAGCCTCGCACTGCAGTTTTGCATTGCAAATTAGTACGAAGCACAGAATGACCTATTTGAGCTACAGATTAGTATCTTGTCTTTTCTTTACATAATCTTTAAAGTATAGTTTTGAATAATCAAAGGTTTCTGTAATCTGGTAGCTTTGCTCTGCTACAAAGTATTTCCCTGCACAATGCAAATATCAAAAAGGCTTTTAGCAAGTCAA